TGGAGAAAGAAGAACTACAGACCAGTCAGCCTCGTCCAAGTTTCAGGAAAAATCCTGGAGCAGATCCTCAAGGAAGCCATTTCTAAGCACTGGGAGGAGAAGGTGATTAGGAACAGCCAGCCTGGATTCACCAAGGGCAAGTCATGCCTGACCAACCTGGTTGCCTTCTATGATGTGACTGCCTCTGTGGATGCAGAGAGACCAGTAGATGTAGTATTCCTTGATTTTAGCCAGGCTTTTGATACAAGTTTCCCACAGCACTCTTGCAGGCAAGCTAAGGAAGTATGGGCTGGATGAATGGACCGTAAGGTGGATAGAAAGTTAGCTGAAGCATGGGCTCAGAGAGTAATAATCAATGACTCGATGTCTAGTTGGCAGCCAGTATCAAGTGGAATGCCCCAGGGGTTGTTTCTGGGGCTGGTTTTGTTCAATGTCTTCATCAAAGACCTGCAGGATGGCACAGAGTGCACCCCCAGCAAGTTTGCAGATGACACCAAGCTGGGGGGAGTAGTAGATATGTTGGAGGGTAGGGCTAGGATTCAGAGTGACCTAGACTAATTGGAGGATTGCGCCAAAAGAAATTTGATGAGATTCACCAAGGACAAGTACAAAGTCCTGCACTTAGGACAAAACAATCCCATGCACCAGTACAGGCTGAGGTCTGACTGGCTGGGCAGCAGCTCTGCAGAAAAAGACCTGGGGGTTAAGGTGGACAATAAGCTGAATACGAGCCAAAAGCATGCCCTTGTTGCCAAAGAAGGTTAAAGACATACTGGGCTGCATTGGTAGTAGTGTTGCCAGGAGGCCCAGGGAAGTGATTCTTCCCTTCTATTCAGCACTGGTGATGCCACACCTGGAAAACTGTGGAACTGTTCAGTTTTGGGCCCCCCACTACAGAAATGATGTGGACAACTTGGAGAGAGTCCAGCAGAGGGCAACAAAAATGGTGAGGGGGCTGGGGCACATGACATACGAGGACAGGCTGAGGGAACTGGGCTTATTTAGCTTAGAGAAGAGAAGACTAAGAGGGGATCTAATAGCAGCCTTCAACTACCTGAAGTGGGGTTCAAAAAAGTATGGAGCTGGACTGTTCTCAGTGGTGGCAGATGACAGAACAAGGAGCGATGGTCTCAAGTTCCAGAAAGGAAAGTTTAGGTTGGATATTAAGGAGAATTTTCTCACTAGGAGGGTAGTAAAACACTAGAACAGGTTACCCAGAGAGGTGGTGAAAGCTCCGTCCTTGGAGATTTTTTAAGACCCAGCTAGGTAAAGCTTTGGCTGGGATGATCAAGATCTACTTGGGGCTGTTCCTGCTTTGAGCAGGGGGGTAGTTTAGATGACCTCCTGAGGTCCCTTCCAACCCTAATTTTCTATGATTCTAGGCCAAAAAGAAACCGAGAGGAATAGTTTTCCCTTTTTTTGTCAGAAGAAAGTGACTGTCAGACCTAACTGTTGCCACATGACAAATGTGTCCCAGTGTTTTTGTCCTCCAATCTTCCCTTGTCCTGTCACAACTTTTACCTATTGTACCACCCCCCAACTTGCTCTTATGACTACTCAGTTTATGGCTCTACAATAATTTTGCCTGAGAACAGAGACATAGATCATCTATGTCCTCTTTTTTTGGAAACACAGATTGCTGTGTTTGATTGTTTCATTTTTATAGACACATTGCTACAAACTAAAGGAGTCCAACAGCTCTTCAGAGCTAATGTCAAGGGAATTTACAGCACATTACAAATTTCTCCTTTGGCTTTGATGTATTCATATTAAGTTGTGCTGTAATGTAGTCAGCCTCAGGGCACAGCCATAGGGAGCAATGATAACAACTGAGAGATCTAATTTCATGAATAGATTTACACAACTAGTCACCTAGCTTGCTGGGGCTGACTGGACTAAGGAGACAGATGGATATCCCTCTAAAGGCCTATCCCATTCACCACACTGGGGATAGTTCTAGATGGAGAATAACTGCAATGACAGAAACTGGCAACAAAAGGGAAAAACAGGAAAGAACACAAAATTAAATTTTCTTCAATACAACCTTCCTACTCACCCTCCCATACCAATATTGTTGGCTGGCAGAAGCAGTTCATGTACATGATACTAACACTCATGTTATAATTATTCAAGAATGCTCAAAAAACCCAACACTTGAGCTTTTGAAAGAATATTGAGATTTGCACAAGAGGGATGCGAAGTTCCTATATAAATATTGTCTGTGCCTCTTCCAGTTCACAAGAGAGAGTTCATTTTATTCTAAGATAACCCTAGGGAGAAGAAGGATAGCCTTCCTTCTGAACCATTAGCAGGGAACTCAGAACATGTCCTTTCATTTCCTCACTCTGCCATAAGCTTTCCTGTGTGATCTTGAGCAAGTTACTTCATCTCTCACTCTCTTTTCCCTGCTCTCAAGTTCCCCTTCTGTTTTTTTTTCTCAGAGGTATAGTAGGGGTAGCACCAGCTGCTCCTGTGGCTATTTTTGTGCCTCCCCTATCCCACAGGCAGTGTCCAGGCCTACTGCCCTGGTCTCCCATCCCCTCCCTCAGTTATGCCACTATCTTTTCTGTTTTTGGCCATCTTTTCACTTTAGTTTGTAAACTCTTTGTGGAACAGACTGTTTCTAATCATGTGACGTGTAGTTCACTGGGGCCTTGGTCCTAACTGGGACATCTAGACCTTATTGTAATAGAAAAATACCTTTTATGATAATGGCAATTGCTATATACGTGATTTTTTGAAGCTAGTTAGAGGAAAAGAAAAAGATGTGGATGAGAACTAAAGGTTTATCTGTTCCACCTTAACCTTTACCCACTTCTAACTGAAGCAACCATCTTATAGGCTGAGTCAATGTGTTGACTAATTTTTGTTCCAAAACTTCAGGTGTGTGTATCCACACCAGGGTCAGCTTTTTGGAAGGGATGTAGGCACAGCAAGGACAGACCCTAGTAAAGATGTGCTGCATTTGTATAAAAAGTGATGGACTTTAAATGCAATTGGCCCAGAATTACATGTGAGGTCATGAACCTTTTTGTATTGTAAAGTAAGACCACATTTATTCAGGGAGTGATTCAACTGAAAAACAAGAAACATTTTTAAGATAGAAGGAAGCAGGTTAGGATGTTATGCCAAGGGTTTGTGTCAGGGTTGATTGTGTAGTTTTATTAATAAATTAGACAATGGATGGTTTGGATAAGGATAATCTGGTCTCTGAGTGAGGGATTGGACTACATGACCTCTGAAGGTCCTTTTCAGCCTTACTTTTCTATAATTTAGGATAGAAATAGCCCTCATCCCATAAAAATGTGAGATTCATCCAAGGGACTGCTTTCTCTATGCTCATCTATCTCAGAAACTGTATCTATGAAGAACACTTCCATGTATCAACTCTAACTTATTTATATATACACACCTGACTTTCCTACCTCATCTTTTCTCTTTTTTTGATAGTCTGTATTTATCTTTTACATTTTCTTTGCTTAATTTTCACTCATTTTCTTTCACTAGGTTACTTTTCCTCCTTTCCTTCTTTTATTCCCCTCAGTCTATCCCAAAAGAACAAAATCAGTCATAACAGTGAACCAGTTGTTCATCTTGTCCAGTATCCATCTCAGGCAGAGGCCAATAACAGATGCTATCAGACTCCTATTTTTATTAGGAACCAACTCCCAGATCCACAGTCCATTGAGCACTGAGGTGTTCAAAGTCCTACTGTGGACGCACCGGCACCTGGCACCTTTGGGATTTTGAGGGAAGGCAGAAAACTAACAGAAAAATCACCTTACAGACCTCCTGTAGGTGTTCATACTCTGAACCTTTGATGCTTTATCATATTTGCTGTGACTTGAAATTAGAGTCTGGAGTCTCTGGTCCCCTCAGGCCTAGACCATGACTTTAATTTGCATTGGCAGGAGTTTTGCTTTCATTGGTAGGGCACTGCCTTACAAAATGAGTAACATGAAGGGAAATTGAGACCCTGATTAAAAATCGAGATGCTTAGCTATGGTTTGAAAATAGAATGGTCATCCTGTGCTGCCAAAAATTCCACTGAGATGTCATCAAATTGCTTTATGGTTAGTCACTTTGTAGAGTATAACAATACACTCACCAAGTAGCAGTTTCTTGTGCAGAGTATTCAACTCGAGGCAAAGGGTCTCCCCTTTCAAGAGAGAGAGAAAATATAAATATCTTTTCTAAAGGTGAGTTGAAGCTTTGTGTTCAAGTATCATTTCCTCTACATACATCAGTAATACAAGAATTAAAAAAAAAAAGATGTGCAATCTACAGCTTTTCTGTAGGAGCTCCCAAGGGGTTTTATGAACCATAGGTCAGAATCTCCACTCAGTTCTGAGATGGGGAATGCTGTATAAAAAAGGAGGATTGCTTGGAAGATACCAGAGACCATGCTGTATTGCATTGCCCCCAGATGGTGGTACATCAACCATTAAACTGAGTATAACATGGTTGGCCAGAAGCTGAAATGGAGATCAAAACAACTGATCCATTAGCATCATCCCAGGAGAAAGAACCTTAAATATCTGCACAGGTATATTATGTGTTTTCAGCATTAACTTTCCTGTCAGTGTTTGGGCCCAACATTCAAAAGAAAAATAATTTGTGTCAGTAGTGGAGGAGCTAATGGTAATACAGTGGTAATGAAGATTGTAGATACCACACCTCAAGGCTGTCGCTAAGCAGAAATCTCTTAGATTTTGCAGTTAGCAAAGGGTTCTTATGAGTTTGTATGCTGACAGCTCAAATCTACTTTGGCTTACACATCTTGCAAATTCCCCTTACTAGAAGGCAGAATGGTTTGCAGTGTGATTTGCAGAATGGCTAGATGTACACCTTGCTGGGGTCGTTTGACCGTAGTACTCTTCCCTGCCATGGCAGAGGGTCGGACTAGATGATCTCCTCAGGTCCTTTCTGACCCTAGAAACTATGAAACTATGTCCACAAGGAAACTTGCAGACTCTAGTGTGTATGTTTTTCTCTCTATTGTATTTCTACACAAAATGGCAAGAATATGTCAGTTGTTCATTAGAATATATGTCTTTACATTTTTCAGTGTTTTCCTGCTTTCTGCTAGACATGTACAATCTATGATAGACTTGATAAAGCACCTGCCAAACCCTGAACAGAAGCTCATTCTTATACCATAATTGACATGAAGAGCCATAAAGAAGGACAATTTTTGCTGGACAAGATGCAGAGCTCAGGAAGACACACATGCAGCCCAATAGCTGCATGCTAAAATCACTGTCACTGAGTTCTGAAAGGTGCCTACTGCATGTAGTAGCTGTCTCAAATACATGAAATGTCATCCATGTCAACACTGCCTCTGCTTCCTTATCCACCACCGAGTGGTGGGGGGCAGGGATCCAGACCAGCCCGCAAGGAGCCCCAGGGTCCAGATCCAGCCAAGGGGCCCAACCAAATTTGACAACCCTGGCATATAGGATGCAGTTCTTAGCAGTTAACCCAATGCAACAACAGATGGCACCATAGGCAGCATACAAATGCTTTCTAGTGGTGGAAAATTTTCACAGCTACAAATGATTCTGGGAGAGGAAGAAGTCCATAGCCACCCCCTCTCCTCTGCTCCTTGCACCTTCTCTGGATTGGGTTGATGCCAGTCTGGGAAAACTGTGGGCTGCTCCTGTCTTTCTGTTCCTGGCAGGACAGGAGCAGCGCTCACTTCTTACAACGGGGACCCCAGTTTGAGAATCAGTCAGGACGTTCACCATGCTGCACCTTCTGCTTGGCCCTGGGGTACTGGGAGCTAAGTGGACAGAGTAGTTGAGAAAAGCCCCTGGCCTGCTTCTCATTCTGGGCACCCCAGCATGAGGAGTGGGCAGGTGCTCTCCACTGCCCTACGGGAAGCCTCCCCAAACCTAGTTCCTCGCCCCACCAGTTTCCCCTTGCTGCCCATGCTATCTAGCTGGGTAGTGGGGGTGGCAATTTGAAAACTGGCATCTAAGACCTGGGCCTGGAAAAAGCCTTCCCAAGTTTCTTCCTTACCCCACCAGCTAGCTTCACCTTGCCACCTGTGTCTCCTATCTGGGTGGTGTGAGTAGCAATGGGAGGCCTGCAGGAGTAGGTAAAGCCCCTGACCTCTTCTCAAACTGAGGACTACCCAGTTTGGCAAAGAGGCAGGGACTATTGTCTGAAGCTCCCTGCCCCCCCCAGACTAGTCCAGGAAGGGAGGGGAGCAGAAGGGAAAATCCCCCAGCCTGCTTCTCACTTCAGGAACTCCAGAATAAGAAGCAAGCAGGGGCTCACACTGCTTTTGGCTCCCAGAGCAGTTCAGCAAAGTCCCTGCCTGCTTCTCAAACTGGGATCTCTAGCAGTATATTGGAGGGATGGGAGAAGATGTCTCCCCATGTCTTCTCCAGAACCTGGTCTCAGAAAGGCACAGGAGCCTCATTTGCCTCCACTCCTCCTGCTCCCCCCTGGAAAAATCCTGGGCCCAGGAGGAATAGAGCTAAAGGAAATTGTGCATAAGGTCAGTCTCCCAAGAGACACTCTCAGGAGAAAATTCTGACTTGACTTTCTGGCTAGAGTGGCCATTTTTGCTCCAGGAGAAAAAGTGTGAACGCCTATACACTTCTGGTTCCTACCAGGAAAACAGTGATTCCCTGGTAGAAACTGGACATGTGTACATAGCCTATGGATGTATTGGGCAAAAATTAGGCTACATCAAGTAGCTGCTTCACGTGAAAAAAATATAGACCACTTTACATAAGAGCATACAAATTCTGAAAGTGGCTTACAATTCCTACAAGGGTTGTACTTACTCTCTGTAGCTGAAGGAAAGGTCTGTAAAGAAGGCCCTCCGTTTCCTGTATTCTGGGTCCGTGTATCCCTAAATTGTGAGATAATTCAGAAGAACACTTATAGAAAGACAAATATTTTGGCATGAATTACCACATTTACTTGCATACCACACATCACTGCTTCCCCTGTGCCCTGGGAACCTGGCTGCATCCCTACACTGCTGGGAATATTATTCAGAGAGTAAGCCAAACTTTACACTAAGTTGCATCTGCAAAACACTTCTGATATTGGACCTATGACTACAAAGGAAACAGCGTAAGGTCAGGGGTCCATGCAGGACATGGGCAGCCAGGGCTTGACATTAGAGAGTCAGGAGGAGGCAAGGTTGGGAAATAAAGGCCAAATCAGAGTCATAAGATTATGAGCCACAAACAAAAAATTTACACTCGGGTCAGGAAGCAGGGGTCAGCACTAGGCCTTGAAAGGGCTGCTGCTTACAAGCAGTCAGCCATGCCCATATAGGCAGCTGGGACAAACTGGACATAGGTAGGTCAGGTTCTGGCAACCTTTTGCAGTCCCCACTGCAGGCCACACCCTGCCGCTCCTGGCAATCAGCAGATGCTGTAAATGTAATAGATAGAAAAAAGGTAGGGCCTAGGACCCTGGAGAAGCTTCTCTTGCTGCAGCAGAGGGTATAAACTGAACACAGTGGGCAGTGGGACCCCAAGGAGGCCTCTTCTGCTGCTGGGGCTAGAGCCTGCTGCCAATTCTCTGAGATGCCAGGGATGGATCCAGGATATTTAAGGGCCAGATCTAGCCCATGGGCCATACATTGCCAATCCCTTCGGTAGGCCATTGGCAGCCAGGCTCATTGAGATAGCTGGGACCAGTTGCAGGTAGTCAGCTTGCCTATGGCACTGACTCATGACATCCCCTTTTATGAAGGTGTAGGCAGAGAGCATTATACAAAGTGGCAATTTCAAATGCAGGTGAAATGAAAGACATAATTCCAGTAGGAGGCCTAGAAAATAGACTCACTCGATTGATTTTCCTGTTAGCTGTTTTAACCATGCTATATTAAAAATGGCTCCAGTAATAGCTGTACAAAAGGATGGTTACTACTTCAAGTTGGGTACTCTTTTCCTCATGGTTTACCAGAAATTGAGCTACCAGTCACCTCTGCTGGGGTGCAGGGTGCCTCAGTATGAGGGCTATGCAGCTCATGGAGATGGGGAAGCAGGCAGCCCTAGACTGCCTGCTTCCCCATCTTTATGTTTGTTCCAGCACATGCTACTTTACCATGGTTTGCACTGCTTTTTTCAGGTTTTGTTTTGTTTTTTGTTTTTGTTTGGGTTTTTTGTTTTGTTTGTTTTTTTTGGGGGGGGGGGTTGTTGGGTTTTTTTGCTACTGGGAAATCCCAGTAGCAAATTTTGCCCCCGTGCCACAAATTAGCAGTGCTGTGCACAGATTACCATGCAATTTATGTGGTTTGTGGCACTGCCAAGAGGTTTGTGGTGCCACAAACCACACATGCCTGCACATTTGGATCCAGCCATAGAATCAAATCTCTTTGAATTTTCCATCACTCTTGATATAATAAAAATAATAGCTGGAATCTGGCACCACATTATTAGCATAACACTCATAAAGCAGGGTTGATTGGCAACACCATACAAATATTTATTACTCTAAAATATTCAACTTTTATTGGAACCATTTTCCATACCAAGATCCAAACTTTCCCCTTATGTTTATGCCCATTATTTCCATAGTAAATATCATAATAATACTGTAGGCAATGGGAGTCATGCACATGTCTCCAAGGGAGGTATTTCATATCTGTACATTTGCTCCTAAGAACGTGTGTAACTTTGCTATGTGAGTATATGCCACAGAGCCTGTATTCCCAGGTTGATCTGTATCCTCTACCCAGCTCCATAGGCTCCCAATCTTCCTGCCATTAGCACAACCAGAAGGAAGAATATGACCCCCAAGAAACCTGTAGCTGGGTAGTTATTTCAAGAAATTGCTACTGACAAGTGGTTTTCAAAACATGGTTCACAGACGGTTGGGGGTCCACAGTCTCTGTCTAAGGGGTCTGCAAAAGATGACTATGATTAATCAAAGAGGTCTGCACTTCCATTTGTATTTTTGGGGGCGTTTGCTAATTTAAAAAGGTTGAAAACCACTGTTAGAGACAGACAACTGGGGAATAATTTGGATTGGCTCTATTGGGAAGAGATGCAGAGAGTCATAAAAGAAGTTCTAACCTGGTAGAATATAGGGATTTTCTGGAGCAGAGTAAAACTATAGTGATATGAATACCACTCAGGGAAAACATGCTGGCAAAGAAAATAGTTATGCAGCCTGTCTACCCCTATAGTAGCAGACAATTTCAGCGCTATGATTTTACAAACTTACAGAAGGTTCTGATTATAATTAAAGCATCTAAATAAGGAACAGACAAATCATCTAGATCTAATAAAAACCATTCTAAATCTTCAACCAAGTTTCAGTCCAGCCTTATTTGAGAGTCATAAATATGGACAACTTTTTGTCATGCTCTTTTGTGTTGCTGAAACTGTCTTTAAAAGGAATTCTTGCTACAGTTTGTCTGGTGGGTAGCAGAAATAAGTCCCCCATTGAAACAGTTTCAAAAGTAAACTAAGGACAACCTCAAACTTACAGGATGGCCATGATCCAAATCAGGTTCATACTTGGTGATCAAATGATGGCACTTGTCCAGGTCTCGTACCTTCTTTGGAAACCATGGGACTGATTGAGAAAATGTTACATTTGAGTTATACTAGTAAACCCCAAGTGTGGGAAGCAACAGAAAAAACAGCCAATGAAAATGAAAACCTCTACTTTGTACAAGGAATGTAGGCTAAACAAAAGACATATGAATGATTGATTTTCATTTTTCAAACCCAATTGAAGAATTGAAAAAAAGAATTCAGGGTGTTGACCTAAAATGAAAAATGTTTCAATATGCTCAATGAAACAAACAGAAAAGCAAAAGACAAATAAACCAGAGCTCCAAAATATGAGTTTTTTTTACAGAAACATTGAAACATTTTGTTTAAAAAATGTTAAAACCAACTATTTTGAGTTTTCTATTCTTTTCATCCCCACCCCTTTTTTTTGGCTCAAGCTATGAATCAAATTCAGCCTGAATCTGCAAATAGTTGCACCTCTATTCTCAAACCTATAGAATGAACAATCTTGAAAAATAACTCATTCAGTTCTAATGTAAACCCTGGCATTTCATATAATTAAAGAAAAGGCTGGGCTGGAAGGGACCTTGTGAAGTCACCTAGTCCAACTCCCAGCTTAAGGCAGTTGAGCCAACTTTTACGAATGATGTACTGAATAACATTTGAAAAACGGCAAAGTTAGTATAATTTTCCTAGTCACCCAAATCCTGAGGTATAACTGAGCTCTCCTGACTGTGGGAAACCATGGTCATAGTCAGCTGGAATCTTGTTTTGGAAGCGGTGCCATTTTTTTGCAAGTCAGCAAGCTTCACGTTTAGTGCAGACTTAACAAACACTCTCCATCTTTGCTTGTAAAATGTGGGAGCACATAATTAGACGTAATTATATGCAGTGAAGGTTGTTGAGGCCCCCTCCTGCAAACTCTCATGAACATATTTATTTTTGAAAAAGTAGGTCTTCCTATTGCCTTCAGTAGGAAAGCATGAGCTTTCAGGTCAGGACCAGTGAGATCAGAACATTGCAGCATTGAACTCTAAGTCCCTCATGGCATCCACAAATAACTGTCCCCACAAAAAAGAAGAGGCTGCATTAAAGATTGACTGGATATCTGAAAAATAGGAAATTATGGTTCAAGACAAAAGGAAAGTTCTCTCCTCTTTTGCTTTCAAAATTGAGCTGCATCCAACCCCCTCCTCCTTTCTCTCTCATGTCTGTCCAAGTCACATCTCTCTTCCAGTCTGCTTATAGGTATTCATTCACCTTTTACTTCAGATTCAGTCTCTTTGTATTCAGTGCTTTGCCCAATTCGGCTACATCTCTGCTCTCGTTCTCTCCTACCCCACTGACTCCTTGCTCTCCACCCAGGCTTCCTGCTTGACTGCCCTGTTGTGCCATTGCTCTATTCTCACTCCCTTACCTTCTGTAACCTCTTCCTCACCCCTGCTCACCAAGCAACCACCTTTGCCCCCTTTAGATACTTGCTTAAAATAGATTTCTGCCAAGTTTTTCCACACCAGCTTCTGACCAAAGTCCTACTTTAGTATAACACTTCATCACAGTTTCAGGTGAAGCAAGTATGAGCTCCAATGCTTTCCTGAATTAGAGAGCTGAAAATACTATTAAATTAAGGACTTAGAATACCCACTAAAACACTATTATGGGCATGTCCAGATGAGTGTTCATGTGCAGTTTACAGCACCTCAAAGCTGTTTGAGGTGCCATAAACTGCATGTGGCACACATACACCCATTCACCATGCTGCTAATTTGCAGCACGGTGCCAAAATTTGCCACCTGGAGATCCCAGTGTAAAAAAAAAAACACAAAAAAGTGGCATAGTGCACATGGCAGCAGTGTGTGGCACCAGAAACAAAGCCTGGACAGTCAAAACCACACTCTGGCTGTCTGCCAGACTCTGTGCAGCCAGATTGGTGCTGCTGCTGCTGCTGTCCCAGGAAGCCCCAGGACCCCAGGTAAGGCAGCCTCCCCTATGGGGCACAAAGCAGCTGCACAAATATGTGCTGTTGCTATTTGTGCCACAACAAATGCACACCCCTTCACATGCACACTTGTCTGGACGTGCCCTATAGCAGCAGTAGTACAAGGTGGAATCCTGGAAAAATTGCATTATTTTCACCACTTACTTCCCTCCCATGTTTCATCCCTTCCAATAAAATTCTCACTTAAGACAGTGCCCATTTGCAGAGTTATTTTCTCTCTTATGCGATATTCACGTAAGCGGGTTTTATTGTGTACAACCTAATACTTACTGTGCATGTTCCCCTCAGTAAGGTCCCAATTCAGCAAGCAGAATCCATTAGTTTCACTGAAACCCAATTCTAGCTTTAAACCTAAACAGGTGCTTAAGGCTTTTACTAAATGGGCTGCTTAAAGTCATTTACGCTTGGATCTAGGTCTATCCCTATTCATGCCTGATTAAGTGTGTAGTTTGAATTAATAGAAATGAGACTGACACATATTTATGAAGCACAGACACCCTTATTTTCTATCATGTCTTGAGTTTATGATCAGAAATAATTCACCATCAACGAAAATGTAAAATACCACAGTGTTCTGAACCACTGATATTTGGCCAAGGGTGTTTAGATCTCTTGCTACTATTAATTTCAGACTGGATAAGGATGCTGTGGTTTCTTCAGAGAAAACAGTAATATTCCAACAGGAATGTTATTTCTTTTGAAAACATAGAAGGAAGAGAATACACCTGTGTATTAGGATTATTATTGGTACTGCTGTCTTTTTTACAGACCATCTGTGTACCAAAATATTTTGCCAATTTCTATCAAATATATATTTTTAAATATATCATAAAGTAATATAGAGATAAAATGCATAGATCTGTCCTGGAGAATATGAAATATTGATTACAATTAATGCAGAGACCTAGGTGCATTTTTTTCATAATCATGTAGGTTCAGAAAATTCATGAGGAAAAAAATCATAGTCTGAGCCCAATTCAGCAGTGTGATTCAGGAAAACTGACCTCTGTGATGAGTCCCAGTGGAGGGGATATGCTCAGCCACATCATTTTGCAGGACAAGAAAGGGCCACGCATGTCATATGCAACTTGAAAGCTGTGGATCTAATAACTCAAATGCATTCAGACGTAAAAGACATTAAGGCACAGGCTCCATATATCACATACCTTTGTCTTCTCTGTGAGCTTTCACATCCTCTGCCACTCTCTTTAAGGAGTTTATAAGAGCACTGGCATCCGAATTATGAACTTCACATTTGACAAAAAATTCAAGATCATCAACTGTATTTTTGGACTTTTTGGCCTGTCTGCTTTCAAGGTGATGAATTTTGGTTTCAAAAGCCTGCAAAAGATAAATGTCCATATAGCAATAAATTTCAAATCACTGAAAAACAGTTAACCTTAACTACAATTGTAATATGTCTTCTTAAAGATGACAGACTAAAGCTTGAACAAGAACACATTTTTAAAAAGAATGTGCCCATGCCCAATCTAAAAAAAATTTGTTAAAGAGTATTGTTTATTTTGTACAAAATAAAGGACGGGATATTTATAGCTTGAAAGTAACTAGTAGAACAGGGGTCTATTTTTTGCTTGATGCTATTTAGGTAGGCACTACTATCGATAAAAAACATAATAGTAATAAATACAATATTTTGGTTTTGCTAATTTCATTTTCCCAGATAAGATGAAACATCAATGCATTCTTATGCCTATAATAATCTATCCATTTGGGTGTTAGTTTTAACTGTGGAAAATGAACCAGAAGTCTATTCTGTACACTTCCTTCAGAGATTTCCACGAACCCTTTGGAAGAATACAGCTAGATGGTCCTAACCCTAGAATTTCTCTCTAGTTGATAACATAGTATGTGGGGAAAGAGAATGTCAGAGGACATCTCAGGGATATTTGCCATGATATATATGCCCCACACATAATGATGGATCTTCTGAATAGGTTTTCTTAGTCCTCTCCCCTGGTTTCAGCATCTCCCTGCTTTAGCCAGGAGAGCCCCAGCCAGTCCTCCTGAATGAAACAGGCATAGTAATATAAGGGGACCACCTCAAACAGAAAAGCAGCCAAGGTGGAGTCTAAGAAGAGGCAAGCTGGGGCATAAGCTGCAGAGTGTAGTGGGGTGAAGTGGAGGGGTTAGAAAAGAATACAACCCCAGGAACAATGTGAGAGAAGGGAGAAGGAAAGTCGATAGGACTGTGGGGGCTAAGGTCAAAAACAGTAGGGGGAGGCTAAAGGGAGGGCAGGAATCTGTGGAAAGGTTGGGCAGAGCAATAGGAGATGCAGGGGGTCAAGCAGGTGGTGGGAGCTTCCTACCTCAAAGATTTTAGCTGCCTTGGAGAACCCAGCCTTTTTCTCATTCCAGAGGGTGAAGGTCAAGATCAGAGTAGCTCTTCCCTCTTCTTCCTCCCAGACCAGGCTGTCCTGCTTGCCCAGGGACTTCGTAAGTGCAGTTTCTTTCATCGGGCCTGCATCTTCAGAGAAGCTTGCCCCCCTGCCTGGAACTCCTGAAGTGTCAGTCTTCATTGCAAGCCAGCTCACAAGAGCTAGAGCTTAGTCAGTGGAAACTCCACTTCCTTCTTCTGTGATTTGGAGTTTGGATCACAATTTCTAAGACTTCAAGTTTCAGGGCGCTGGCATTTATTCTAGCACTGCTGAGCGTCAGCAACAGGTGAGATCTGTCCAAGGAAGCTTAGGGGCTCTCTGCACTGGTTTTTAATGGATAGGGGACCAAATTCTACTGAGCAGTGTCTCTGCTATGAGCTGGGTGTGGAGTGAGGTGGGATTCCCAGGTTTCAGACAGAGGGAGTGTCAGGTTTGACACTCAGTGAAGACCATTTATGGTGCCAACCACAGGGAGATCAATGGAAATTGACTGCGTAGAATGTACGCAAGAGACTGTAATAGCCCCCCTTCACATGGTAATTTCAAAGCTGGGCTCCCTGTTCTATTTGAGAGTATCTTTGGCTGCCCTAATGCTGTGTCATTAACCCTTTTGGAAATACGGACCTTTTGTTAAGAGGCCAATTGAAATCTGGATTCAATTTACATCTCTGATCTGAATTTCAGAGATCCAGAGAATTATAGGAAAATAGGGCTGGAAGGGACCTCAGAAGGTCATCTAATCCAACATCAAGGCAGGACCATTCCTTTCTAAACTAACCCAAACAAGTGTTTGTCTAACTTGTGCTTCCATGCTTTGTATTGAAAAAGGCTTCTTTTCATGTTCCTAGTTGGCTGAAGCCCAGGTTTGAACCCAAACCTTAGGGTCCCAAAGCAGCAAGAACAGAAACCACAGTGCTTGGTTAAAGAACAAGGCTCAGCTGTTCCTTTGAGCTCCAGCAGGCTGTGATCAGAAACAGCCATGGGGAATGCTAATGGAGATGCAAAGGGTTCATGTCACACCCAGCCTGAAGACAAGGGAGAAAAACAACTAACCTCTGCTTTGATGGAAGGAGCCTCCAATTTGCTAGGAAGGCAACAGAAGTGATTCAGAGACAGAGATTTCTCCCATCTCCATGGTTGTATTCCTCATAGTTGTGGCCCAGACATTGGAACTGGGTAGTGGCAATAAATAACAACCCACTGGTAGGTGCTATGTGATGGAGCAAAGTTTGATGCAAATATTAAACATGTAACAGATGAAAAGCACATTGAATAAAGTAATTCATGATTGAGTTTTAGGAGCTAAACAGCTCGCGTTAAAATATAGCCAAGCAAAAACAGACCTCAAATAGTAAAATGGTTCTTTTTATTGGTTGTTGGCAAAAATGCTTGGTTTTTAATAACTGTTCATAAATGTTTATACATCTTGATGTTTAAAATATTAGTGCAATGATCAGTTTTAGCCCTCTGGACCCCTTCCAAAGTTCATTGTTGTTCATGCGAATCTTTACACTGATTCCAATGGGCTTTCAATGAGGTCGTACATGAAGTCACAAATGCCAGTGTAAATGACATTTTCTGAGCCTTCCTACACTATGCATATAGAGCATATATATTCAAACTGTATTGTTAAATATATATTTTTTTCACATACATACATATGTGTGTGTGCGCACGCACACTTGAAAAATTATTTGCATGGCATAGAGTCAGCTATAGTACTACTGTGCAATGGCAGACCTGGGACAGGGGTTGCAGTAGTGTGGTGGTGCCCCCCTTCCACTGCCACTGTCCTCAGCTAACCCAGGCGCAGGGGAGGCCTCACAGCCACTCCTGTCCTGCTCCAGTCTTGGTCAATGGCTATGTGGGGAGCCAAGCTCAGCATGGGATAACAATGGCAGTGGGCAGGTTTTCTCTTCCAGATGTGACTGCCCAGGTATTCCTGTGGGTGGAGAGCAGGTGATGAATGAAGGAACCCACCCCCCATGGTTGCTGCTGTTCTCCAACTGATGCAGGCACAAGAGAGCCCCAGAGCTGCTCCTATCATGCTCCAGATGGGGCTGTGAGATCTGGCCTTGGCTGGAAAGAACAGTAGTGACACCTGGACTCCTCCCTTCAATGCTTGCTCCAGGCCAGTAGGGAACACCTTGCAGGGATGGGCAGGGGGCAGCACATTTAATCAAAAGTGGATCTGTATAAAGTACTTGTTCTCAGCACGAGTCAGCCCCAGAGCTAACAGAGCAAGTGCATGCTTCTGCTTTGACTCTCTCAGCTCCCTTCAGTTGCAAAACAATTTGTTTTCCTTTGTGGCCATGCTGGCCAGAGCTGCTACATACAATCTCATTTTCCTTTCCAATATGTCCAGTTGCAATATGTTTTATTTAGATGATACTCAGAACAAGTTAAAGCAGTTCACTAGATTGCACATGGTTGAGGAGAGACAGATGGAATTTGAATTCAAGCCACTTTTTTTATTTCCTGAAGCAAAATCTATACCGCAAGGTGCTGGCCACTTGCTGAAAAATATATCGTATGGGAAAATCCTATGTTTTTGTATAAAATAGGCTGGCTGTCCTGTAACAGATTGTTTTAATTCATATCCAGAGGATTTGATCCTGGTTTTAGCAGAACTGATACCATCTCTATCAAATTCCTTGATTTCAAATTTTAAGCCATCTAAGGTCTCAAACACACAGCCCTTTTGCAGAAAAAATCCATTTGAAGTGAGTGGGAGTTTACTAATATGAAAACCTTTTGGATGGGGTTGTAAACAGGGCTGTCATGCTTTCTATTTTAGAGGACATACATTTAAGACAAAGAAAAAGCTCAAACTTAGCGGAATGTTGTGGCAAAACCTTAACTGTGGAATTGCTAGCACAGCTCCATACTAATAAACAAAATTATATGGACTATAGCTGGTTAATATTTTTTTATTAACTATTTACCTAAAATAATATGAAGTTTTATTTTTTGCTTTTAACATGCACACAACTAATTGGTCAATGCTACTGAAATATACATTGAATATGTACGTAACTCTGCAGGCACTTAGCTTTATAAAGAACATGATAATAGATCATCAAAAAAACAATGGTGCACCTATGACATTTAATAAAAAATAGAAGGAAAGTAATGGTTTGGATGCAGTAAGAACCAGAGTAACTGGATTTGTGCGGGCAGTTAAACCTAGGAATGAAACGCTAGCTCTAAAATACAAATCCAGAAACATATATAGGTTTCCCCCTCTGCTTAAGATGAAAAGCAAATGCTTCAAAATACAGGTTATTGTCAGGTACTATTTATGTCATAACACCATAGATATCACTAGCACAGCAGCAAGATGAAACTGTAGGTATAAGTACTGGACTAACTTTGTGAGATTTCTTAGTTTGTGATTTCAAAGCATTTTGATATTCTTGCTGCAGAATTTCAGAATATTATGAAGTGTTCTTTAGGAACAAACCTGTTCCTATGCACTTTTTTACATTGTTCTTTCCCCATGTAATTAGTTGTTTTAATACTAGCTTAAATCTGAGTTTAGTGTACAGAACAGAATGATATTAGTTCACCAGAAAGAACAAAAAATACATTTTTTACAACTTTTGAGATTTTAAGCTGAAACAAAACAATTATTCTCTAAAAAGTATCCATCCATTTCTTAAGTATTTCTTTCATTTAAGGTTGCTTTTCCACCAGTATTACTCCATTAACTTCACTGGACTTACTGATTTACATCCATTTAAGTGACACAGAATCAGACCATAAATGTCAAGTCAGTTTAACAAGTCCACTGAATTATAAAGGAAGACTATGAATGCTGTATCCTCAACAGCAACACAAATGTTTATCTACCTATCTATTCATTGCAGTAGCTTCAATATGTCCTGACAACTAGCAGATTATGCTGAAAGATATTAAACTTGTGGTAAAAACATCTTTTTGTGAACATAGTCGCCTTAGGGGAACAACTATATTGCGACAGAAGAAATATGGTCTACTTTCATGTTTACAGTAATAGCTAGGCAGGCATTGAAGATCTGCACAGACATTAATCCCCTTTCCCTTCTCTTCCCCCCACTCCAAAAAAAGGAAGATGATAAAAAAATTATACTTCAAAGCACCAAATGATACCATTTTGCATAAGTATACTTCCATTCAAAAGCGTCCCAGCTGGTATCCTTAGGTTAATGCTATTACATTCCATAAATGTAACAGAAGCAGCTGTACTGTCTATTTCTTTCATGGATCATGTTTGCATTAAAGATCCATTGATTTTCAAGACATAGGTATAAAAGTGGTGCAATAATAGGTATTAGATTTTGTGGACTTTCAAATAATATTTGTAAAACCCTTCATAGCTTTAGAACCTCTAAAAAAATGTGAATTTTATATCATTGAAGTGTAATTATGCAAAATTATTTCTAGTAGGAAACACTGAGTTGCACTGCTTAGCTCAGTATAGTTTAAGTATACAAACTGAGAGCTAGCAGTTTAGTCCTTGAGCTATGAGCTATAGGAAGATATTATACTCTATGACCCAGATCCAAAAAAGGGACTTGGACATCTAAAGTGAAACAGTCTAGATAAAATGCTTAAACAATGTGTACTAGAGGGAAAAGAACTTGGGAATCATCATTACTATGTGAGCACCCAAAGCCATAAGATCATGCTCACTGTTGTTTCTTCTCTCTGGACCAGTGAATCTTATTTATTCCATGCAAAGTAGAACACCATCAAGAAGTCAGGATAAAGGGATGTCTTTCTTTCTATTGCTTAGTGGTTGATCAGCTTTCTTGCGGGGGGGGGAAGA